ATAATTCACTTGCATTTCGATTAGCAAAAGCTTTTAAAAATTAATTTACTTCAAAAATAGAAAATATACTTTTAGATCAAAAAAAATAAATAAATCCAAGTATGTATGAATATATGTATAAATTTGTGTGCATATGCATATGTGAATGATTCTACAACATGACCAAGAGAGTTTATTACAGGAGAGACAGTGGTTTAGCCTTCCAAAGTCAATATACTTCACCACATAAACAGAACCAAAGACAAAAACCACATGATTATCTCAACTGATGCAGAGAAGGCCTTTGACAAAATTCAACAGCCCTTTAGGCTAAAAACCCTCAATAAACTAGGTATTGACGGAACGTACCTCAAAATAATAAAAGCTATTTATGACAAACCAACAGCCAATACCATACTGAATGGGCAAAAACTGGAAGCATTCCCTTTGCAATCTGGCACTAGATAAGGATGCCCTCTCTCACCACTCCTATTCAATATAGTATTGGAAGTTCTCGCCAGAGCAATCAGGCAAGAAAAAGAAATAAAGGGTATTCAAATAGGAAAGGAGGAAGTCAAATTGTCTCTATTTGCAGACGACATGATTGTATATCTAGAAGACCCCATCGTCTCAGCCCAAAATCTCCTGAAACTGATAAGCAACTTCAGCAAAGTCTCAGGATACAAAATCAATGTGCAAAAATCACAAGCATTCCTATACACCAATAACAGACTTAAAGAGAGCCAAATCAAGAATGAACTGCCATTCACAATTGCCACAAAGAGAATAAAATACCTAGGAATACAACTAACAAGGAATGCAAAGGACCTCTTCAAGTCAAACTATAAGCCACTGCTCAACGAAATAAGAGAGGACACAAACAGATGGAGAAACATTCCATGTTCACGGTTAGGAAGAATCAATATCGTGAAAATGCCCATACTGCCCAAAGTAATTTACAGATTCAACGCTATTCCCATCAAGCTACCAATGACCTTCTTCACAGAACTGGAAAAAACCACGTTAAACTTCATATGGAACCAAAAGAGAGCCCTCATAGCCAAGTCAATTCTAAGCAAAAAGAACAAAGCAGGAGGTATCACACTACTGGACTTCAAACTATACTACAAGGCTACAGTAATCAAAACAGCATGGTACTGGTACCAAAACAGAGATATAGACCCATGGAACAGAACAGAGGCCTCGGAGGCAACACAACATGTCTACAACTATCCAATCTTTGACAAACCTGAAAAAAACAAGACAAACCTGTTTAATAAATGGTGTTGGGAAAACTGGCTAGCCATGTGCAGAAGGCAGAAACTGGACCCCTTCCTGATGCCCTATACTAAAATTAACTCCAGATGGATTATAGACTTAAACATAAGACTTAACACCATAAAAACCCTAGAAGAAAATCTAGGCAAAACCATTCAGGACATAGGCGTAGGCAAGGACTTCATGACCAAAACACCAAAAGCATTGACAACAAAAGCCAAAATAGACAAATGGGACCTAATCAAACTCCACAGCTTCTGCACAGCAAAAGAAACAGTCATTAGAGTGAATCAGCAACCAACAGAATGGGAAAAAAATTTTGCAGTCTACCCATCTGACAAAGGGCTGATATCCAGAATTTACAAAGAAAACAGATCTACAAGAAAAAAACAAACAAGCCCATTCAAAAGTGGGCAAAGGATATGAACAGACACTTTACAAAAGAAGACATACATGAGACCAACAAACATATGAAAAAATGCTCATCATCACTGGTCACTAGAGAAATGCAAATCAAAACTACATTGAGATACCATCTCACTCCAGTTAGAATGGCGATCATTAAAAAATCTGGAGACAACAGATGCTGGAGAGGATGTGGAGAAATAGGAACACTTTTACACTGTTGGTGGGATTGTAAATTAGTTCAACCATTGTGGAAGACAGTGTGGCAATTCCTTAAGGACCTAGAAATAGAAATTCCATTTGACCCAGCAATCCCATTACTGAGTATATATCCAAAGGATTATAAATCGTTCTACTATAAGGACACGTGCACACGAATATTCATTGCAGCACTGTTTACAATAGCAAAGACCTGGAACAAACCGAAATGCCCATCAATGATAGACTGGACAGGGAAAATGTGGTACATATACACCATGGAATATTATGCAGCCATCAAAAATGATGAGTTTGTGTCCTTTGTAGGGACATGGATGAACCTGGAAATCACCATTCTCAGCAAACAGACACAAGAACAGAAAATCAAATACCGCATGTTCTCACTCATAGGTGGATGTTGAACAATGAGAACACATGGACACAGGGAGGGGAGCACTACACACTGAGGTCTGTTGGGGGGAAATGGGGGAGGGATGGGGGGTGGGGAGGTGGGGAGAGATAGCATGGGGAGAAATGCCAGATATAGGTGAAGGGGAGGAAGGCAGCAAATCACACTGCCATGTGTGTACCTATGCAACAATCCTGCATGCTCTTCACATGTACCCCAAAACCTAAAATGCAATTATATATATATATATATACATATTTTACCATATCAGCAGAATAATGAAGAATAATCATTTGACCATCTCAATCGATGCAGAGAAACCTTTGACAAAATCCATACTTACTCAAAAGAAACACTCCCAGTAAACTGGTAAGACAATTTTCTCAACCTGATTAAAGTTATAAATGAAAAAGTTACAAATAACAACTGATTTAATAGTGTGTTAGGCACTTTCCTCCTATAATAAGACACAAGCCATTAAGTTTTCTCATTACTTTCAACCTTATTTTAATTGTAGATGAGGTCTCACTATATTGCCCAGGCAGGACTTGAGTTCTTGAGCTTACGAGATCATTGTGCTAAGCTTCTCACTCTTTTTATTCAATATTATATTGGAGATCTTAACCAGCATGATAAGGCAACAAAAATAAAATAAAAGTTTTAAATATTGAAAAGGAAGAAGTAAAACTACAATTATTTGCAGATTACATGACTGTTTACATTTAAAAAATCATAAGAAATCAAGGAAAAATAACTAGAAATAATTAGTGAATTTACCAATATCACAGGATACATCAGTATTTTAAAAATAAAAATTTTTTTACTAGTTGCAAACAATTGAAACACAAACTTCAGAAAATTATACTATTTACAGTAGTACCAATAATAAATTACATAAGAACAAATGTAGCAATGAATTTTCAATTAAAAACTACAAAACTTCATGAAGGGAAACTAAAGAAAACATTTTTAAATGGAGAGATATATCATGTTTATGGATTGGAAGTTTCAATGCATTAAGATGGTAATTCTCAACAAGTATATTGGAAAAACTGGATAATCTATGGGGAAAAAAAATGAACCTTTACTATCACCTACCACCATAAATGAAAATTAAATGGAGATGTCTCATAGATATAATTACAAAAGCTGAAACTACAAACATTGTAGAAGAAAATATAGAAAAACATCTTTGTGAGTTGAGAGTAGGCAAAAATTCTCTTAGGACACCAACATCTCTAAGCAATAGTAAAGAAATAAAATTATTTCTCCTTTGACAGCCTTTGTGCCAGAGGATGTGTGTTATACAGATCAATAACTAACACATGGAATGAGGGGTGCAACAATCCTTAGAACCACGTACACATGCACAGCACACAGATGGACATGGTATGTGGGTAAGACCGAGAGGCCTGTGTTCTGCCTGTGATAGAGGACACGTCAGAGTGAAAGTGGATTATAAATACAATTTGAGAGGTATGTGAGCCAGCCCGGAGTAGAGAATATTTATTGGCCTGTGCCTTGAAGAACCCTCTCATTTGTCCAGAAATTGGAATGCCTTTTTCAATTTCATTCCGGCCCAGTTGTGTGTCTCTTCCAATCATTCCTCTGATAGCACTCACTCACTCCTCCTTGGGCATAGATTCTGCTCCCAGAATGATTTCTGCTTCTCCTTTACTTTCTGGGTACCTACAGACTTCTGTTAGAAATCCCGCAAAAATTGGTCCTCTCAGCCACTGGATATGAGTCCTCTCTCAACCAATGTGATCACCAATAATAGTTTATATTCAGCTCCCAAATATTGATTCCACTCAAATTACTGCCCATAGCAGGGGGCAGCAAAACAGCACGTTTACTTTCAGAATTGCAAATAAGGGCAATGTTTTTTGTTTGTTTGTTTGTTTTTTTACATTGAAGATGAACCCAAAATAAAAGTTCTTATGATCATTATCTTGTTTATATTCATGAGACCCCTGGATAAGCAATTTACGGGAACAAATCCACATTTTCATTCATATTGCTAATGGAGAACTCTAACAAGAAAGAAAAGAAGGGAGAGGACACTGGAATATGTCATCTGGAGTGTAGGCAATGGCTGTAAAATGTACTTGGGTACTCCTAAATAAAGCAACAACTATTCAAAATAACAGGAGAGGGAGAAGCGGTGAAGGAGGTGGTAGATGAACAGGAGAGGCCATGAGGAGTTGGTAATTACCAATGATGCCTCAGTGGGGACACAAAGGCTCATTATTTTCTAAGCCTTTTTTGTAAATGTTTGAAATTTTTAGAATTAAAAGTAAAAATAGCTAAAAATAAGACTTTACCAATTTGGCATGCAGCAGTAATGATTAGAGTAGGATGCCATGGTATACCCATGCATGAGGGAGGGCGAGTGATACGGGCAGGAGACAGAAATATTGGGTAGAAGAGGGTGGCCTCCTGGCAAAGGCCCCACCCTGAAGCCTGGAGACCCGTAGCTGTAAGTGGGACAGGCATTCCTGTTTTCATGTTCCAAAATTTGTCTTTTGGCCTGCGATGCTCCCTTTCCTGTACCCATATAAACCCCGAACCCCAGGCTTCAGAGGCAGATGAGCAGGAGAGGAGACGAAGAGACAAGCAGACAGAAGGTGGAATGACGTGGCAGAAAGAAAGAGAAGTGAAGGAATGTCTGAACCCCGAGAGGAGTTCAGCTGGGGGTGGTAAGAGAAGAGTTTAGCCCCTGGATGGCCAGACTCCAAGGGGAAGATCATCTTCTCACTCTATCCCCCCTTCCAGCTCCCCATCCATTCCCCTGAGAGCCAGTTCCACACTCAGTAAAACCTCACACTCATCCTTCAAGACCGTGTGTGACCCAATTCTTCCAGGATGCTGACCAAGAGCTCAGGATACAGAAAGCTGTCACAGTGGCCCACCGCCCTTGCGAAAAAGCAGAGGGTCCACTGAGCTAGTTAACACGTGAGCCATGCACAGATGGCAGGGCTATCAGCCCACTTGGGCTCCTGCACCTGTCCATCTGCGTGCTCCCTCTCCCCTCAAGAGTTTGAGCAGCTGCAACAATCAAAGAAGTGAGTGACACTCCTGTGTCACTTCGAGGGCGGTCAGGGAACTCTCCTGCTTCCCCAGGACAAGTGCAGATCTGAAGCAGCAAAGAGCCAGTTGCTTATTACATCAGAAAAGTTTTCACGCTATCACTATAACTGTTCTGTACTTGCAATCTGCTGCATTAAATATTAAGCTCTTTCCTCCTAAAGTCAGGAATAATATACGTTAGGATAAAATCAATTTTTTAATGAACCATTGTATTTTCAGCTAATTCAAAAAGGAATGAAGGTGTTGAGTACTTCTTTGAAACACATACCCCCATACTAACACCTTTCTACAACAAATTAGTATTTTTAAAAAGCTCTGTGCCCAGAACACATTGACCAGAAAAGCAGGAGTCACTAAAAAATTTGAGCAATTTGAAACAAAGTTAGGAATTCTGTCCTCCTTAAAACAAACAAAAAAGTCTCAAACTTTACAGAGAATGTATTCAAACTGTACAGTTTACCAAGAACTTAGTTAGAATAAATGATTAAATGCAGAAAAAAGGAGAAGAACTATAACATCCTATCATTCAAATGAGACTACACTCTCTTCATTCGAAATTCAATTTGGTTTTGAATTTTCTCCAGTATGTTTTTGTCAGGAGGATGATCTCTCCTTGAACAACTGAAATAGGTATGCCCTGAGAAGGGGAGACGAACAACTCTCTGTTGGTTGTCAGTAAAGCACCAGAAAGAGAAGAGAAGCAAGTAGAAGAGTTTCAGCATCTGCTGAGAACATACAAGACATAAGACAAAGTTGCATCTTTCTTTAAGGCCAGTACCTTGGGAGGGACAATGACATCACTTCCTGAATCCTCCCAGTTTTCTATTTCCTGCCCTGCTTCCATCAACATCCAGAGCTGGAAACACCTCCATCCTGCCTCTCCCTGCCATGGCCTTCCTGCTCCTCTTCTGTGTGGCCTTTTGTCTCCTGGGAACAGGTGAGTTTGGAAAGCAGAAGGGGAAATCACTGCCTTAAATTTTCCAGGTTCTGGATTAAGCCTCTCCCTAGAGATAGCAGCAAGAGGACACTTACCAGGCTCTGTCTTCAGTTTCTGTCTTATTTCCCCACAGGGTCCATGGATGCTGGTGTTACCCAGACCCCAAGGAATAGGATCGCAAAGACAGGAAAGAAGATTATGCTGGAATGTTCTCAGACTAGGAATGATAATGAAATGTACTGGTATCGACAAGACCCAGGACAGGGGCTACGGTTGATCTACTACTCCCTTGGTATTGAAGATATAAACAAAGGAGAGATCTCTGATGAATACAGTGTCTCTCGACAGGAACAGTCTAAATTCCCCCTGTCCCTAGAGTCTGCCATGCCCAAACACACAGCTCTTTACTTCTGTGCCACCAGTTATTAGCACAGTGCTTCTTGGCCACCTGCTCTCTACACAGAAAGACAGACACATGGGTGACTTGTTTGCTCCAAAGGGCACCTGGATGTGGGTTGTGGGATGTGGGGTGTTTAGAGTTTTCAGTGGGTTTAGGCAGTGTGAGACTCGGTCTGAGCTAAGGACCAATTTGTATCAATGTTCTCAAGCCATGTGATGACTACAAATCAACAGGCTACACTAAATCAATCTACCCTGCCTATTTATTTTTCCTAGTGAGCTAGCCCAATAGTGATCTTTCAAGAGAATGTACTTGAGCATTTGACAGTAGCTCATGATTTTCAATAAGAGCATTTCTTATGAGCTCAAGTCCTTCAAGGGGGCATCAGGGAACTCTCCTGCTTCAGCAGGACAAGCGCAGATCTGAAGCAGCAAAGAGCCAGTTGTTTATTACATCAGACACGGTTTCACGCTATCACTATAACTGTTCTATACTTTCAATCTGCTGCATTAAATATTAAACTCTTTCCTCCTAAAGTCAAGAATAATATATGTTGGGATAAAATCCATTCTTTAATGAACCACTGTATTTTCAGCTAATTCAAAATAGGAATGAAGGTGTTGAGTACTTCTTTGAAGCATATACCCACATTATACTGACACCTTTCTACAAGAAACCAATATTTTCAATAAAGCTCTGAGTTCAGAAAACATTGACCAGAAAAGCAGGAGCCACTAAAAAATTGGAGCAATTTGAAACAAATTTAGAAATCCTGTCCTCCTTAAAACAAATAAAAAAGTCTCAAAATTTACAGAGAATGTATTCAAATTACATAGTTTACCAAGAACTGAATTGGAATAAATGATTAAATGCAGAAAAAAAGGAGACACGTTATAATGTCCTATCATTCAAGCGACTCCGGTTTTGAATTTTCTCCAGTATGTTTTGTCAGGAGGATGATCTCTCCTTGAACAACTGAAATAGGTATGCCCTGAGAAGGGGAGAGACAACTCTCTTGTGGTTGTCAGTAAAGCACCAGAAAGAGAAGAGAAGCAAGTAGAAGAATTTCAGCATCTGCTGAGAACATACAAGACATAAGACAAAGTTGCATCTTTCTTTAAGGCCAGTACCTTGGGAGGGACAATGACATCACTTCCTGAATCCTCCCAGTTTTCTATTTCCTGCCCTGCTTCCATCAACATCCAGAGCGGGAAACACCTCCATCCTGCCTCTCCCTGCCATGGCCTCCCTGCTCCTCTTCTGTGTGGCCTTTTGTCTCCTGGGAACAGGTGAGTTTGGGAAGCAGGTGGGGAAATCACTGCCTGAAATTTTCCAGGTTCTGGATTAAGTCTCTCCCTAGAGATAGCAGCAAGAGGACACTTACCAGGCTCTGTCTTCAGTTTCTGTCTTATTTCCCCACAGGGTCCATGGATGCTGGTGTTACCCAGACCCCAAGGAATAGGATCGCAAAGACAGGAAAGAAGATTATGCTGGAATGTTCTCAGACTAGGGGCGATAACCGAATGTACTGGTATCGACAAGACCCAGGACAGGGACTACAGTTGATCTACTACTCCCTTGATGTTGAAGATATAAACAAAGGAGAGATCTCTGATGAATACAGTGTCTCTCGACAGGAACAGTCTAAATTCTCCCTGTCCCTAGAGTCTGCCATGCCCAAACACACAGCTCTTTACTTCTGTGCCACCAGTTATTAGCACAGTGCTTCTTGGCCACCTGCTCTCTACACAGAAAGACAGACACACGGGAGAGTCATTTGCTCTGAAGGGCACCTGGATGTGGGTTGTGGGATGTGGGGTGTTTAGAGCTTTCAGTGGGCTTAGGCAGCGTGAGTCTCGGTCTGAGCTAAGGACCACTTTCGATCAATGTTCTTGAGCCACGTGACCTTTAGTGACTATGAAACCACACGCTACACTGCATCAATCTGCCCTGTCTATTTATTTTGCCTAGTGAGCTAGCCTAATAGTGACCTTTCAGGAGAATGAACTTGAGCATTTGACAGAAGCTCATGATTTTCAACAAGAGCATTTCTTATGAGCTCCATCCAGTGTCATTTTTACGATCCCTTTGCCATTATGTCCACCCACTTTGCAACATCCCACACTTTGTTCTGTTCCCACTGACAGCTCCTTTATCCTGTCTAACCTTTCTCTGCCCCAGTTCTTTCCAGTTCAGCTTCACCACTTAGCTCTATATTTGGTTGCCTTCCTATTAAAAACAAAATAGCTGGCTTGTTTTCTAGAACTTCACTGTAAGTAAATTTAATTATCGTTAAATCTGACTCAGAAGTTGAAGTTCAAGTACCAGAGGCTGTAATTTACAAGAGCAATTTTTCATCTACTACCCCACACTTTGATCTCTGCTGAGATTCATTTTAACCTGCAGATGCAGATAGACTTGCTTTATTACCTGGATATACTGAATTTCAAAAAACAAAATTCCCTGTCCCCAGCATGAGGCCAAAGCTAGGAACTTGGAGATGCCCCTTTTCTTTCCAGGCACTGGAATAAGCCCCGGGTTCCCCCACAGTGGGGTTTCTTTTAGGAGCCAGTGAGGCCCAGGCACAAAAATAATTGATCAAAGACTGCCAGAGCTTGATGTAAAAGTCTTCCTGAGAATCAAGTTGATGTCTTCCTCATGTGAATTGCCTTCTTGTCCCAGAAACCACAATTATTTCAGCAAAAGAATCCACAGGACTTAGTGACTGTTCAGAAATAAAAAATCCAACTTGTTTCCCTTCCTACCCATTCTCATGTGAGAAGAATGTCAGTCTTAGGGATTCTGTCTCATCTGCTTTCCATTTAAAAAAAAACAGGTTTCTCCAGAGTTTTGTTTCCTGCTTTCTATGCACACCTCATCAAGTCTTATCGGCAATAATAATTCTTCCATCACAAGCTATTAACTGTCCCAGTTAATTGCCTTCTGGGCATTTCTGATGTATTTTCCCAGGATTTTCCCTTCTGCCTCCCTTTTTCCTCAATATACATATTTTCCCACAACCTTCCCATTCATTATCATGACAACTTCTTTTGTAAGTTCCTGCCTGGAAAATTCAACTGTCTACTGGACACTCCCAGCAGAATGCTCCACAGGCAAGTCAAACTCAGTTTATTCCTGAATTATTGTCTCTTCATCCTCACACTTGCCCACTTTGGCCGCACCCTGTGTCTCTATCTCAGTGACTGGAACAACCATTCTAGGTTCCTCCTTTTTGCTATGCCTCTTATTAAATCAGTTTCCAAATCTATTACTTCTATATCTGTTTGTCATAGTTTGTGTTCTTCACAAGCAGATTTTGAGGGGGAAATTCGTGTGTGAAAAGGTTTCTGGAAACTGCCCTTGCACAGGAGCAGAGGGAAATGGGGCAGAGGGAGAAGTTGGGCTGTGCTGCACCCTCAACAAAGTCCCTCACTCACCCCAGAGGGAGCTCTGCAACTGGATGGTCCTTTAGCGCCATCCCAAGGTGAGGTCACAGGTCTTATTCCCACTTTCCTTGTAACCAAGTCACTATATGTTGGTTGCTCCAAGAAGGAGTCATGAATTTGTTGGGGAAGGGGTGTCTCTTTAGAGCAAGGTCATTCACCTAAAGCCATCAGCATCACAATTCCTAATACACACATATTTATCTGATTCAGCTACCCCTCTCCCTCCTCATTGCTTCTACCTCGGTGCAGACCCTCATCATCCATGGCCTAGAAATAAATGCAATGCCCTTTCCATGGCTTACTAGCTTCTTTTCCCTTTCCCTTATCCTATTTCTCACATTGCCACCAGCGTGACCATGTACGACATTCTTCACGCAACACGCAAAGCCCTTCAGAAATGGTTCTCCAACTAAACATCTGGCCAAATCTGCCAAATTCACTCCAGCACTTTAGACTGTAGCCCAACTGAACTGTTTATAATCCCCTGAATACACCAGGCTGAACTGCTCAGGTATACCTTTGCAAAAGCTCTTTCTTCATCTGAAATGAACTTCTTTATTCCCTTTTTGTCAAAAATAGTTTTTAAAATTTCAACTTTTATTGCAGATTAAAGGGTACATGTTGTGGAGGTTTGTTATATGGGTAAATTGTGTGATGCTGAGACTTCAGGTCCCAATGATCCCATCACTCAGGCCGTAAGCATAGTATCCAACAGGTGGTAGTTCAGCCCATGCCCTGCTCCCTCCTTTACCCATCTAGTAAGCCCCAGTGTCTATGGTTTCTATCTTTACAATCATGTGTATTGAATGTTTAGCTTCCATTTAAAAGTAAGAACATATAGTGTTTGGTTTTCTGTTCCTTCATTAATTTGCTTAAGATAATGTCCTCCAGCTTCATCCATGTTGCTGTAAAGGGAATGATTTTGCTTTTTATGGCTGCATGGTACTCCACAGTGTATATGTACCACATTTTCTTTATCCAATCCCCTGTTGATGGGCACTTAGGTTGATTCCATGTCCTTGCTATTGTGAATAGTGCTGCAATGAACATAATGGGTATATAATTAATGAGTACATAATTATATTATGAATTGGGTTGATTCCATGTCCTTGCTGTTGTGAATGGTGCTACAATGAACATAATGAGTACATAATTAATGGGTACCACTGCTGGGTCAAATGGTAGTTTCATTTTAAGTTCTTTGAGAAATCTCCAAACTGTTTTATATACTGGCTGAACTATTTCTCATTTCCACCAACAGTGTATAAGTGTTCCCTTTCCTCTGGAACCTCACTAACATCTATTGTTTGAAATAAATCTTGAGTGCCTGGCAAATTCTCACATATCCTTTAATTCTCAGATCAGAGATGAGTTTATCTAAAACAGTTTTTCTGACTTCTATAGACAAAGACTCAGTTTTTCTCTTGCGTGTGATAGTTTATGCATTTCAAAATTACCATAGTTGTTATGTTCTTTTACATTTCTTTTTTCTTAACTTTTACTTTAGGTCTGTGGGTACATGTACAGGTTTGTTATATAGGTAAACTGGGTGATATGGCGGTTCAGTATACAGATTATTTCATCAAGCAGGCAATAAACATAGGACTCAAGAGGTATTTTTTCTATCTTCTCCCTCCTCCCACCTGCTTCTCTCAAGTAGGCCCCAGAATCTATTGTTAGCTTCTTTGTGTCCATGTGTTCTCATTTACAGCTCCCGCTTATAAGTGAGAACATGTGGTATTTGGTTTTCTGTTCCTGCATTAGTTTGGTTAGGCCTCCAACTCCATCCATGTTGCTGTAAAAGACATGATCTCATTCTTTTTATGGCTGCATAGTATTCCATGATGTATATGTACTATATTTTCTTTATTCAGTTTACTTCTGATGGCCTTTTAGGTTGATTCCATGTCTTTGCTATTGTGAATAGTGCTGCAATGATTAGCTGTGTGCATGTATTTTTATAAAAGCATGATTTCTATTCCTTTGAGTATATGCACAGTAATGGAATTGATGAATCATATGGTAGTTCTGTTTTAAGTTCTTTGAGGAATCACCATAATGCTTTCCATGATGGCTGAATTAATTTGCATTCTCACCAGCAGCATATAAGCAAGCCCCTTTCTCAGCAACCTCATCAGCATCTGTTATTTTTTGACTTTTTGACAATAACCATTCTGACTGGTATGAGATGGTATCTAATTGTAGTTTAGATTTGCATTTCTCTAATGATTAATGATGTTGAACATTTTTTCATATGCTTATTGATCACATATATACCTTTTTCTGAAAAGTGTCTGTTCATGTCTTTTGTCCACTTTTTAATGGGGTTGTTTTTTGCTTGTAAGTTTAAGTTCCTTATAGATTCTAGATATTAGATCTTTGATGGATGCATAGTTTGCAAATATTTTCTCCCATTCTGTAGATCATCTATTTACTCTGTTGATAGTTTCTTTTGCTGTGCAGATGCTCTTTAATTGGGTCTCATTTGTCAATTTTTGATTTTGTTGAAATTGCTTTTAGTATCTTCATCATGAAATCTTTGCCAAATCATATGACTAGAATGGTATATTTCCTAGGTTATCTTTCAGGGTTTTTATGGCTTTAGGTTTATATTTAAGTCTTTAATCCATCTTCAGTTGATTTTTGTTTATGGAATAAGGAAGGCGTCCAGTTTTAATTTTCTGCATATGGCTAGCCAGTTATCCCCAGCACCATTTGTTGAATAAGGAGTTCTTTCCTCATTGCCTGTTCTTGTCAGCTTTGTCAAAGATCAGACGACTGTAGAAGTGTAGCATTATTTCTTGGGTCTCTATTCTATTCCACTGGTCTAGGTCTGTTTTTGTACAGTACCATGCTGTTTTAGTTACTGTAGCCTTGTAATATAAGTTAAAGTTGGGTAACATGATGCCTTTAGCTTTGTTCTTTTTAGGATTGCCTTGGCTATTCAGGCTCTTTTTTGGTTCCATATGAATTTAGAAATATTGTTTTTTCTAATTCTGTGAAGAACATCATTAGTAGTTTGATAGGAATATTAGGTTGGTGCAAATGTATTTGTGGTTTTTGCATTGTTGAAATTTGCCATTTTTTTATATTGAAATACATTCTAAAGTAAATGTGGTTATGTTATGTATCATTTTAATGCACGTTTCTAACCGTTTTTTTTTGCTAATGACTTATTTATTCCTACTTATTTTGTATATATTTTAGACTATGCACATGTTACACAAAAGCAAATTCAAGTGATTTTCTTATTCAAGTTCAAAATGGGTTGTAAAGTGGCAGAGACAACTCACAACATGAGCAACACATTTGGCCTAGGAACTTCTAATGAACATACAGTGCAGTGTTGGTTCAAGAAGTTTTACAAAGGAGACGACAGCCTTGAAGGTGAGGAGCATCGTGGCGGGCCATCAGAAGTTGACAGTCACCAGTTGAGAGCAACATCGAAGCTGATCCTCTTATAATTATGTGAGAAGTTGTCAAAGAACTCAGTGTTGACCATTCTATAGTTGTTCAGCATTTGAAGCAAACTGGAAAGGTGAAAAATCTTGATAAGTGGGTACCTCCTGGACTGAGCGAAAAATTTTTTTAATCATTTTGAAGTGTCATCTCTTATTCTGTGCAACGATGAACCGTTTCTTGATCGGATTGCGATATGCAATGAAAAGTGGATTTTATATGACAACTGCCAACAACCAGCTCAATGGCTAGACCGAGAAGCTCTGAAGCACTTCCCAAAGCCAAACTTGCACCAGAAAAAAAAAAAAAGGTCATGTTCACTGTTTGATGGTCTGCTGACAATCTGATTCACCACAGCTTTCTGAATCCTGGCAAAAACATTACATCTGAGAAGTATCCTCAGCAAATCAATGAGATGCACCAAAAACTGCAATGCTGCAGCCAGCATTGGTCAACAGAAGGGGCCCAATTCTTGTCCACAGCAACACTTGATTGGTCGCACAACCTATGCTTCAAAAGTTGCATAAATTGGGCTACAAAGTTTTACTTCATCCACCATATTCACCTGACCTCTCACCAACCAACTACCACTTCTTCAAGTATCTTGTCAACTTTTTGCAGAGAAAACACAAAACACTTCCACAGACAGCAGGATGCAGAAAATGCTTTCCAAGAAATCATTGAATTCCAAAGCATAGATGTTTATGCTACAGGAATAAACTTATATCTCATTGGCAAAAATGTGTTGATTGTAATGGTTCCTATTTTGATTAAATGGTTCCAATTTTGATAATGATGTGCTTGAGCCTAGTTATAATAATTTAAAATTCACCAAAACCAAAATTACTTTTGCACCAACTTAATACCATGGGCTCTACACTGCTTTGGACAGTTTGGCCATTTTAATGATATTGATTCTTCCTATCCATGTGCCTAGAACGTTTTTCATTTGTTTGTGTCATCTCTAATTTCTTTTAGCAGTGTTCTGTCATTCTTGTTGTAGAGATCTTTCACTTCTCTGGTTAGCTGTATTCCTAGGTATTTTATTTGTTGTGTGTGGCAATTATGAATGGAATTGCATTCTTGATTTGGCTCTCAGCTTGTATGTTGTTAGTGTATAGGAATGCTACTGGTTTTTAATGTTGATTTGGTATTCTAAAACTGCTAAAGTTGTTTATCAGATCAAGCAGCTTTTTGGACAAAGACTATGGGGTTTTCTAGATATAGAATCATGTCATCTGCAAATAGGGATAGTTTGACTCTCTCTTCCTGTTTGGATGTCTGTTTCATCCTCCTGTCTGATCGCTCTGACCAGGACTCCCAATACTGTGTTGAATAGAGTGGTGAAAGAGGGTATCCTCGTCTTGTGCTGGTTTTCTTTTTACACTGGCTCTACAAGGCTATATATCCTTTAGTTAAGAGTAGTGCCTCTCCAATTTTATTTCCCTAGCACTGAGTACAATGTCTAGCTTAGTGAAAGAACAAAAGAAGGAAGAAAGAGAAAGAAGGAGGAAGAGAAGAAGTAAAAGAAGAACATAGAGAAGTAGATTTAAATATATGTTTAAGTAGTTCTTCAGGATTTTCTTCCAAGTAACATATTTTCTGGCTTCCAGTACATGTGTGTTTAAGTCCTTCACACCTCTCATCTACAAGTCCCTTTAAAACAAAGAAAATATGTTTGGTTAAGAGAAGGCTGGAAAATGAGAGAGGGGTTTTTACTGGACAAAAATATATAGAGACTTATCTAATAATTATTATCCAATATTAATATCTGATGGCAATACACGATTAATTGAGAACTAGTGTGAAGTGACATAATCCCAAACAGATGTGGGAGAATCTTCAGGGGGAAATCAAAGCTGTTTTTTTTTAATGGAATCTGAGTTTTGAGAAAGAGGACATGTAAAGGAAGATGTATATATGCATTTGTGTGAAAGATTTGTCCTGTTTTAATTGTTAACACAAATTTATATACTCATATATTGAGGTGAGTCTATAATATATTCTAATTAAAATATTTAATAAGTTTTTTATGCCCAGAGTCTTAGTTTTGGTATTAGAGGCAAAGAAGCAGAGTTAGAAAGAAGAAAGAGGATGAATTACGTATGCTGTATTTGAGGGCCTTTGGAAATTCCAAATGCTGGTAGAGTATGCAGTTGGCACTCTGTATCAATGGGGTCTTTGTTTGCAGATTTAGTCAACCTCAGATGAAAAAAAATGTGTTTTTAAAATTACAAAATAAAAACACAACAATAAAAATTCAAAATTTAAAACAGTGCAGTATGCCAACTATTTGCGTGGCATTTACATTGTATTAGCTATTATACGTAATCTAGAGTTGATTTAAAACATACAGGAGGATGTGCACAGGTTATATGCAAATACTATGCCATTTTATATAAGAGATTTAAGCATCAGTGGATTTAAACTAATGCCCCAAGAAAACCAAAGAACCACTGTGTTAAGAACATGGCGCTGAAGCTCATAAAAAGTCCTTGGTGTGGGATTCAGACATAAGACACTGCATAAAAGCTCAACACACATGCACTATAGTCAGTGCCTGTGATTCTCTGGAATCAAACTCTAGTCTGTAAAAACAGAAACCATGATGTTACAGACTATTCTTGGCATGGGAAATGAAACCTCAGAGGTAATACTACTTCCATGGGGCCCCAGACCCCTGAGCTAGGAAATGTCTATCATTATTTGGGAAACCAGGACCTGCCTTTCTCCCTTCTGGCTCATCTGAAGACAGATGAGTCCTCTGCCATAATATGAAGTCTTAATTTAGCATTGCCATATTCTGGTTCCAGATCTTTCCCGCCTGGCTGAATATTAAGACTGCATTTTGTCTCTTGTCTTTCTTGGCATCTCTTTCCTATGCAAACTTCATGGACACTGGAAGGGCTACAAACTTCTGAGAATCAAGGAGCCTCCATTGAGAGAGAGTGTTTTACTAGAACAAAGATATATAGAGATATATACAAGAATTACATGCAATAATTTCTGTCTCTGTAATTATTCACACTTAGAAATTCTCAGCAGCTTCTCCAGAGACTTCCCTATCTAAACTAGAAAGGTAGTCTTTGGGAAAAGTGTTTTCATTCACAAAAGGCAAGCTATGCATGAGTTATTCCTGCACTGGGCAACAAGGAGTAGTTAGTTACCTCTGCCTTCGAATACCCCTTCATCTGACTAGGACCTGAGCCTCTCTTATATCTACTTTCAAGCCCAGATTGAGCACTTCTCTTCTTTCCTTCCTTTAGTTGCTTCTACTATGAGGTATATATAGATTTTACATCCAGTCACTGTTGAAGACTTTCATCAACTCATCACTCATCCTTAAGTCATTTCACACTGAGAACAACTGGGACCCGCCCTCTTTCCTGTTTCTTTAACATTTGTCAGAATCTCCCCAACCCTCTAACACCTTTTTTTCAGCAGGGGGCAGTAAAATTCCATTTATTTTTTCTGTTCTCAGCACTTATTATTAAGACCAGATTTCATAGCAAAGGCTAAGGTCAAATCTCATTAATGATTTTAATAGTTACTTTTGTCTTAAAGAAGCTTCTGACAGGACTAGAGTGTTTCAGGGTTTGGTGAGTCAAAACTGTTATATTTCTTTGTGACACATGGCAGAGGAAGAATAAACAAGGGCCTACATGTGTTACACATAAAATACATACAGACTGAAGACATGGTTCTCAAATTAGTAGAGATATAATTGTAAAAACCCAAACCCCATGTCAGCATGGTGTGAACAAAAATTTCAGTGAATACTGACTATGGATCTTAATGAACTACATTAAGGAAGTGGACAAAGCTGGAGACATTCTGGAATTAATCTTTGTGTCTCACAACCAAAACCAAAGACTTTTCTGTGAAGAGGAAATGAGGGAAAGGGAGGGGGGAGAATGACACTTGGTTTAGACATTGTTTACTGCCGCAGCACCCAAACAATTTTTAGCAATATTGCAATATTACCAAAGCTTGTACTGTATTGTATTTTCTGTTCTGTCGTGATTGATAGTGCAATTAAAAGGAAGGTGGACTAAAATCATCCCAGGCAAAGGCTAAGGTGATCAAGCTGATAAAGCCTGAACACCAAGTCAGTGAAAAATGAGACTGAGAAAGCTATTATCACACAATAATAACACCATATTTTCTGAGGACTGAATGAATTCCCGTTACTTCTCCCAGCCTTTTACATGCGTTTATACACATAGGTTACCCCGTTTAATGCTCACAAGCTCTCCTGCTCCTTGTCTGATCAAGGCATGCTATTCACTGGTTCCCTCTTCTGCATGTTCTTCTCAGGTTTGCAAAGTTCATTCCTCTTCATCCTTCAGAACTCAACTCAAATGCCACTTCCTTTCCCAACCTTTTTAATTAGGTAAAATCCTGCTATTATAGGCATACAAAGCTATGTAGTTTTTATGTTCATAGCTTATAAATAACACTTGCAGTGGAATGTTTTGTAAGAATATTAAAACTTGAGTTAAGATAAGCAAAGCACTGAGCCCACTTTGGATGAGGGAAGTGAACAAAAATATTAGGCATTTGATGGGTTAAAAGGATATAGATGAAACTGTTTCAACAGGATGGCTGTGGGACTCAGGAAGCTGGCAGGGGCTGTGTCATACCCACACGATGACTTCTTCAAGAGCCCATCCTGCTTCTCCACCACTCGAGAAGTCCTCTCTAGTTCTGACTGTGCCGTGACTATTGGGCTTCTCTGCCATGTGGCATTTTATTTTCTGGGGGCAGGTAAGTCATAGACACAGTTCATTCCAAAATCAAGAAAGAACACTTCTTCTTTATTGGGTTTGTGCCTGGCTCAGCATCTAAGTTCATCGTGAACTCTGTTGCCAATTTTTGTCTCTTCCCATAGGCCTCATGGAAGCTGACATCTACTAGACCCCAAGACACTGTGTTATAGGGACAGGAAAGAAGATCACTCTGGAATGTTCTCAAACCATGGGCCATGACAGAATGTACTGGTATCGACAAGATCCAGGAATGGAACTAAAGCTCATCCATTATTCCCATGGAGTTAATTTCACAGAAGAGGGAGATCTTTCCTCTGAGTCAACAGTCTCCAGGATAAGGAAGGAGAATTTTCTCCTGACCCTGGAGTCTGCCAGCTCCTCACCTACCTCTCGGTACCTCTGTGCCAGCAGTGAATACACAGTGCTTAATGGACACCTACATTCTGCACAGAAAGGCTCACCTCCAAGATGAGGACATCTTGCCTTCAGAAACCTCATCTTAAACTACAGAAACCCGTGCAAATATTCCCAGACTCCTCAGCATTAAGGGACCACCAGTGTGCTTGAAGTAACAGTCTAGACTAAAGGCTATCTCTGGCTCAGTCTCTACCAAGTTGAGAAATGATCCAGCCCCACAATCACCATGGCTGACTTCTTTCTTGCATCTAGCTTCTGCTGTTCAATTGAGCTTGCATGAATTTTATCCTTCACGATAAATGTGATAATATTTGACAGTTGCCTTATGGCTGGCTGAAGAAAGTCTTTGTCAGCTAAGAAACAGGAAAAGGATCCTCTGATTTTCTGCATAGGCTGTCTTTATCTACATGAGTTTTTGTAGTTTAAGATGAGGTTTCTGAAGGCAAGATGTCCTCATCTTAGAGGTGACCCTGGTTCATGTTTCCTTCCTCATGTTAAACTAGTTCCTTCATACACAGCCTTACAAGTCCCTGCCCTTTCCTGACCCCAGCCCTGCACTTGACGACTTCAGTTCCTCAATCTATGACTTTGAACTTGGAATAAATTTTTGTTTTCACTTGGAATAAGTGATTAATGATGATTTGCACTAATCTCCCTCTAAATAAATGTAATTTTAGCTAAATCTAATGAGGCAGAAGGAAGAGAAAAGGCTCCAACTTTGGCAAAGAATAGTCTTTAACAATGTCCCTGGATTCAGCCCTAAATCTCTTTGGAGACTACTCTTGCCATTGGGAGACTATTCCACAGATAGATGATTCTTCTGTCTTAGGTATGCTGAATCTCAGGGAAATGTTCTCTATCCGCATGAGATCAGACCTGGGACCTTAAATAGATTCATTTTTCACAAAAGCATAGACTGCTATGGGGCCCTAGGTGTCCTGAGAATGGGTAGGTGCTGAGCTCAGATGTGAAACCTCTGTTTTGAGGTTACCAAAAAGTAAAGTCACAGAGTCTCTGTCTTGGTTTTACCTCCTTAAAAAGTAGCTTTACTATGTTGGAAAATAATCTAGAGAACATAATACATATTTTACTATAAAAGTCTGCTTATTCATTCTTCTTTTCTATTTGTATTCTACGATACTAGCCATTCTTCACTCTTCTTTGTGGGCGCTTTCTATTCTCATTTTCCTTATTTTGTCCTTATTTCTGGACTTTTAATTTTTTGCCTCTTAACCTACACGTACATCTTAGACAACATCATCAACTCTATTACTTGAAGTATATGTCTCATTAGTTTCAAGTTAGCTGCCTACTAGATATTTCTACCTCTGTATTTCGTAGGCTACTCAACTCAACTTGTTCCCAACAGAGTTCATCATCCTCCCAATACCATGTCCTCTTTTGGAGACACCATTGTCTTGGGAGGCTCATCTCCAGTAGTCAGATGTCCTTAGCAAACACCTAAAGGATTAAAAACCCTTCCTTACTGAACTCTTAGCCTTATGCCTTACCCTTCTGGCCTTTCTTCTAAAAGTGGTATGCATCATAGGTTGGCCCTCTGTATTCATGAGTTCCACATCCCTGTATTCAACCAGCCACAGATCAAAAACGTTTTTTTCAAAAATTATGTCTATACTGAACACATACAGACTTCTTCCTTGTCATTATTCTAACAAATACGGTATGACAACTATTTACATAGCATTTATTATATTTGGTACTATTAATTATTTACAGGTGACTTAAAGTATATGCATAGATTACATGCAAATACTATATACCATTTTTCAGCAGGGACTTGGGCATTTGTGGATTTCGTTACCCTTGGAAGGTCCTGGAACCAATTCCCCAAGATACTGAGGGATAACTGTAGACAAATGTGATTACACTACTGGATCCCCTCACAATTTCTCCATGTTTCTCCTCCATATTCAAGATAAAATTTAAATTCCTTCACCTGGCTTAATGGTATTTTGTGATCTGGACTCCGGAAATTAGCTTACCTTGAACACCTTAACCTGGCTGTTTTTCATCCTGGGAGTACTGAACTTCTGACCATTTTCTATAGACCATGTTCTCTTACCCATCTGAGACCCTGTACCTGCTGTCACTGTATTTACGAAGTCTGCACTTCTTGTCTACAGGGCAGACTTCTACTCCAGCCTCTCATTAATGACTATGTTGACAGAAAAAGTCTTAATCTGCTTCAGATTGTTCCTGTCCTCCAAATAGTGTTGTGGGAGGCTCTCTTCATCACCATCCTCCTTATTTTCCAGTATATATGTCTTTTTGGTGCATGGTTTTCCTGGAGCATTTTATTTAAGAATGGTCACAGGGTGTAAATCAGACAGAAACAAAACAAACCAAAGTCTTTGAGAGGAGATGAATGTCACCCCTGCTGAGTATTTTTGAATGCGATGCTGGAAGCTGATCCAGTGAAATCCTTCCTATTCTCTGATGAAAGGAAGATCTAGCTTTGACACTGGAACAGATAATGAAGAATGCTTCCCAGAAAGATGCCAGGTGAATTGCGGGGTTCAGTGTAAATAAATAAGTGACATGTTTATGTTAATAGATATTACTTATATATGAGCAAACCTGGTCTTGCTTTATTTTTTTTTAAAAAAAAAAGCAGCTATTGCTCAGTTTAATAGATTTAAGTATACTTTACATGCCATGAAATTCACCCTCTGTAAGGTACAGTTTAATGATTTATAGTAAATATATTGAGTTTTACAGGCATCTCAAAATCATCTTAAAACATTCCCATTGCCCTCAAGAGATCCTTTCTGCCCTTTAGTTATTTCCTAAGGTGCCCCACCTCAGGCAGCCCCCTATCTATTCTTTGCCTCCATAGATTTGATTTTTCTGAAAAGCTTTATAAAAACAGAGTATTAAAATATGCAGTCTTTGTTTCTGACTTCTTTAAGTTCACCTAACATTTGGGGTGTTCATTCATGTTATAGTATATTTAAGTTATTTGCCACATTTTTGTTGCAGAAAATTATCCCATTGTATGGATATAGCATATTTTATGTATCCATTCAGCAATTTTTGGACATTTGGATTGCTCCAGTTGTTAACCTATTATAAATAATGCCACTATAAATGTTCTTATTTAAATATTTGGGAAGTTATAAACTTATTTTATTTGGTAGGTATCTAGAAGTGAAATTACTGAGTCATGGCGTAAGGGTATAAATAAATTAAAAACACAAACAAGAAAACTTGCAAAATGTTTTTAGAACTGGCTATTTCCTTTTACATTTCTATCATCAAAGTGTGAGGGTTCCAGTTTTTTCACATGCTCTCAAGTATTTGGTCTTTTTTAATAATCATCATTCTGGCAAATGTGTGGTGTCACCTCACTGTGGTTTTTAATTTTTGTTTCCCTAATAACTAATGATATTGAGCATCTTTTTGTTTGCTTATTAATCATTCCTGTATGACCTCTGATGACATACTTATTAAAATTCTTTACTCATTTTAATTGGACTGTTTGTCTCTTTTAATTATTGAGTTTTAAGAGTCCCTTATTAGATATATGACTTTCAAACATTTTTTACTGCTCTATCATTTGTCTTCTCATTTTCTTAATCAGTGACTTTGAAGACCAACCATTTTTTTTATTTTGACGAAGTTCAGTTTTTTAATTTATCTTTTATGAATTATGCTTTTCATGTACTTCTAAGAAATATTTAACTAACCCAAAGTCATAAATTTTTTTCTGTCTTCTTCTAGAAGTTTCATAGTTTCAGCTTTGATATTTGGCATATGGCATGTTCTAAGTTAATTTTTGGATATGGTGTGTGATCATTATTATTAATAGCATTAGTGTTTTTGCATAGGATAACTTCTGTACTATTTGTTGAAAATAATATTATTCCATTGTTAAAATAACTTTATATCTTAATCACAAATGAATTAACCATAAGCGGATGGGTTTATTCCTGATCTATGTCTTCTTTTGCCTTAATCTATGTTTATCTTATGTTAATACCACACTCTGTTAATTACTGTAGCTTTATACTATGTTTTAAAATTGGCTAGTGTAAGTCTTTAAACTGTGTTTTTCTTTTTCAAAATTGCCTTGATTATTCAAGCCCTATTTATTACCACTCAAGTTTAGGATCAGCTTGTCAATCTCTACAAAAGGTACTACTAGAATTTTGACAAGGATTGCAGTGTACTTATTGATAAATTTGAAGATAATTTCTATCTTAACAATACTGAGCCCTTCATGATCATGGAATACTTTTCCTTTAAGATCTTTTTAAATTTATCTCAACATTTTATATTTTTCTATGTATAGGTCTTATATTTCTATTGTTTAATATATTGCAAAGTGTTATTTTTATAATGCAACTATAAAAATATTTTTATTAATTTCACTTTTGGATTAAAATGCATATGATTGTTGCTATACATACTGTATCCTGAAATCTTGATAAATGAATTCATTAGTTCTCAAAGTTTCTTCATAGATTTTGTAGGAGTGTTTTTTACATAACGGATCATGTAGTCTGAGATTAAAAAGACTTTTACTTTTTCCTTTCCAACCTGAATACCTTTTATTGCAATTTCTTATCTGACTGCATGTCTGATATCTCCAGTGCAATTTTGATACATTTATTTTTGTTTCATTTCTGTCACTTTTACTTTATGTATTTTGGGACTCTGTTGGTAGGTCCCAGGAGTTACTCCACAGTGCTACACAGGCACGTGGTTTCTACACTAAAAGTAACTAAACTTAGAGATTTGTGGGATACAATCAAGCATACCCACATATGCAAAACTGGAATCTCAGAAAGAGAGAAGTGAAAGTTAAAAAACAAGAATGGCCACAAACTTCTCAAATTTGTTGCAAAACATTAATCAAAAGAACCTAGAACCTTAACATCTCTCAAACACTGTAAACACAGACATCCATATCTAAATACATTATACTCAAACCTCAGAAAGCCAAAATCCACAAATATATTGAAATCAATATATTTTCTTAACAAGAGAAAAATGACTCCTTATGTGAAAGAGAAGAGCAATATAATTAACCTGACTTTAAATCAGAAACAATGGAGATCAGAAGATAATGGAAAAGCACTGAAAGAAAAAACATCCTACCAAAAATTCTATACCCAGAAAAAACTATTCTTTATAAATGAAGATGAAATAAAGATATTCCCCTATAAGCAAAGGCTAAGAAATTTGTGGTTAGCAGACCTATGTTACAAGAAATATTAGAGGAAGTCACCCACCTACATGATGTCTTACTGTCTGTTCTAACTCAGTTCATTCTCTGTAGCTGAGAACCTGTCAGTAGCTTTCCATTGACTTTAGGGTTTGACCAATCTTTTTTATATCTAAATGTTAAACTATAAATTCTTTCTGTTAAAAAAAAAAAAAAATCTTCCCAACTACAAATGCTTAAAACCCTCCATGATTTGGCCCTTGCATACCTATCCAGTCTTGTGAAATTCACCTACTCTTTACTCTCTTCCACATACTTATGCTCTAATAATATTCTTAATCCCTCAGCCCGCCCAAAGCTTCATATATGCTTTCTCACTCACTCCTGAGCCTTTACACATGCTGTTCGCACTAGCTAGAATAATCTTTCTCTCCATTTATCTATACTGCTAATCCTCCATGTTTAAATGGAATAATCACTGTACCTGAGTCTCTGACTGTGGTAAATAACCCACAGTATCTACAGCGTCTACTAATATAGAGTATTACACACTTCACTGTTTAACTTATTATGATAGTTTTTAAAATTATTGATTAATATAAAATATGCTCCATGAGGCCAAGGACCATGTCCAAGGTTTTAATTTTTGTATCTTAAGTATTACAGGCTCTCAATATTTATTGAAAAATACAAAAATTTTTGTATCTTAAGTATTACAGGCTCTATAAATATTTATTGAAAAATCCCAGATTTTATCAGTTCTTGCCTCCCTAGCTAAGATAGGATCTCAGCTATCTAAACATTTCTCTCTCAAAACTATTGCTGCAATAGTCTGGAGATTTTCACATTGTGGTAGACTGACTAATAGTCTCCCAAGATGTTCAGATCTGAATCCCTGAAAATTGTGACTATGTTCTCTTACTTTGCTGAAAGGATTTTGCAGATGTGATTGTTAAGGATCTTGAAAGGGGGAGGTTTTCCTTGATTAGCAAGTGAGCCCAATATCATCACATCCTTTCCTAAAAATCTTACTTAAAACCACACCACCTCTGTGAAGCCCTCTCTTTCCCCAGACAGATATGAAGGTCTCTTCCTTCATGTGTTTATAACATATTAAAGAAACTTCAACTTCCATCACTATGTTATGATATTTATGGTCATGTCTGACTCTTCCTAAACTACTAGTATGGGTTTTGAGGAATTGGACTATACATTCCTTTACCTTTGTAAATCCAATATGTAAGACTTGGCACAATATATTGGATACAGAATTATAATGCTGATGGGAGCAGAAACATTAATGTTTTGTTCATGCTTGTATCCCAGAATCTAGTACTATGTCTGGTGCACATAGTAAGAGTGAGGCAGAGGATGCAAGTCAGAAAAAGGGTATGTGACAATGGAAACAGCGATTGGAGTGACACACTTTGAAGATGGAAGGGCCCTGAGCCCAGTCGTGCAGATGGCATCTAGAAGCTGGAAGAGGCAAAGAAATGGATTCCTCATAAAGCCTACAAAAAGAAAACCACCTGCCAACACCTTGACATTTAGTCCCACAAGACTCATTTCAGACTTTTAACCAGAACAGGATGGAAGCAAAAAGATGGACTTGATCAACATAAAAGCAGAAGTTAATAAGGTAGAACGTTGTTTAATGATAGCATTAAGAAATAAGCAAATTGGTTGGGAAAAATGGAAAACCACTTGCCAGCCAAAAGACAGAGAGAAGAAAGACACTAAAAAAGAAGTGACAAAGGGAAGTGACTATCATGATAAAGTCTATTTTAAAAAACAGTATTTTGCATAATTCTCTGCAAACAACCTAAAAGTCTAAATGAAATGGTACATTTTAGGAAGATATAATTTAACAAAACTGGTCCTAATGTGGATAAAAAGCCTAAACAAAACAATGGCCACAAAAAAAATAAAGAAATTTATAATAGAATTTCCTCACAGAAAAGCGCCAGTTCTTTATAGTTTCTTACAGGGATTTTACCACACCTTTTAAAAATCAGAGACTTTGAGAATACCTAAAACATTGTGAAGTACAGAATGGTAGGGGAACCTTCTAAATTATTTTAGTGACATAAGCTTAACATTTATACCAAAACTTAACAAAACTGCACCTTAAACAATCTATAGACCAACATCACTGATTATTGACCAAAAAAAAAAATAGTACTCAATAATAGAGACTCAAACAACAACATTAGAAAATAATCTACAAATTGGAGCTTTCTCCAGAACTGTAAGGGTAGTTCAATATTAGTAAGCTTACTCATCAAATCCATTATGTTAGTCAATGGGGTTGGCCTGAGTCCTGGGAAAAGAGTAGGTAGGAAGTGCTGCCTCAGGAGGGCATTGAGGGAGAAGACATCCTCACCCTATCTGGAAATTTACCCTCCTCATTAACCATTCATGTCTCTT